CCATTCTGCCGCGCGCGACGGGTCGCAGGTGGGTCGCGTGACGGGTCGATGAGTTTTGTTCGTTTTTTTCTGTTGGGGACCCTTTGGGGGGGAAATGTGCAGGCGGGCGGGTCCGCGGGTGGGTCGCGGGGCGATGGCGACGAACAGCAATAACAACGGTAACGATATCAGAACTTTGGGGCCGCAGAAGCCCACTGCAGGCGCGCTCATGGACCGCGCAAGACCGTTCGGCCCCCTCGCGCTGATATGCGAGGCATGGGGGCATGGCCAAGATGTGACTCGCATGCTCTACGCGTGAAGCAGCAATATCCACACCGTCGGGATGAGGAAAGAACGAGCCGAAACAGACGAGTGGATCGGAAGGCCTGGGTCTTCCTCTTCCTCTCCTGATTATATGTCGTCGTCGCTGTTGTCGTCGTCCTCCTACACCTTTCTCCGCCGTTGCCATTTTGGCCACTCTGGTAATACAAGAGAAGCCGTTCTCCTATTATTGGATGGATCTCTTGTTCTGTCAAGAATAAACCTTCTCTTGGGTTTAGACCGTGTTGGATGCTCGGGGAATGGTTTTTGGGTGTCTCGTTTTATTGCATGCATGTTTAACCGTGGAAACGAGCCACTCTTAAACATGCGGCCAATAAAACGAGGCACCCCCGATACAGCAGAACCCTGTCTCAGCCGCGCACGCAGGGACAGTCTAAGACCGTTCGGCCCCTCACTCCAGTAAGTTTAAAATCAGTCGTTATGTTGGCGGAAGTGCAAGTTTTAGCTTGCAAATGCAATTCGATCGAATTAGCCTTGCTCATGTAAGGTCAACTCTTGAGATGTCAGAAGTGCAATTTATAGAAGATCAATTTGTGGCGGACGGACAGGGGGTGGGGCGATTCCGTCCCCTCTTCTTTTTCCCCGCCTCGATGGCCCGATCCGGACGGCCCGGGAGGGCACGCCCTCCCCTCCCCCATTCTGGCCCGAAGGCCAACAAGGTGTTCATCATCGACCTCGAGGAGGGCGCGGACGACGCGGAGAGGGCGGCGGACGCCCGCGCCAGCATGGCGCAGGCGTCCGACGGGTCACGGTTGTTCCTCTTCCCCTTCCTGTGGCCCGACACCACTACGGCAACGCTCATCAACAAGTTCAAGGAGATCACGGCGAAGCTGGATGCGGTCCTCGACGGGGTGCCGGAGAAGGAGCAGTGGCGGTTCGTCTGCAGCGAGCTGCAGGCCAAGGCGGCGCACCCCCTCACGACACAGAAGTTCCTCTCGCCAGAGAACATCGAGGAGTTGAAGAGGCTCAGTTCGACGATGCGCTCGCCTTGGAGGTACGACCACATCCTCGACAAGGGGTTCTGGTCCTTCCGCCTGGCGGACCACGGGGTGGCGAATTTGGATCAGCCTCTGAGCCAGGACGACGTCCTGTCCATGTTCGCGTGGAGCAAGTGGCTCCTGCGCCAGTACAGTGGCTCCCGCCTGTGAGACCGCGCGCGGCGCCCCCGGCAGCCAGTTGCCGGTTCGTCCGAGGCTGGTCTGCCCGGGGGCGCTCGCGCGCGCGCGCGCGCGCCCGCCGGCTCAGCTACTTTGCATTTCTGCGCAGCGCCCCCGGCAGCCAGTTGCCGGTTCGTCCGAGGCTGGTCAACCCGGGGGCGCTCGCGCGCGCGCGCGCGCCCGCCGGCTCAGCTACTTCGCATTTCTGCGCAGCGCCCCCGGCAGCCAGTTGCCGACTCGCGGAGGGGCGCGCCCGCGCCGCTGGTTGCCGGTTCGTCCGAGGCCAGCGGCGAGGAGGAGGAAGGAGGAGGAGGAGGAGGAGGAGGAGGAGGAGGAGGAGGAGGGGAGGAGAAGGAGGAGGAGGAGGGGGACGAGGAGAAGGAGGAGGAGGAAGAGGAGGAGGAGGAGGAGGAGGAGGAGGAGGCTGCAGAGTAGGAGGAGAGGAGGAGAGGAGGAGGAGGAGGAGGAGGAGGAGGAGGGAGGAGGAGGAGGAGGAGGAGGAGGAAAGAGGAGGAGGAGGAGGAGAGGAGGAGGAGGAGGAGGCTGCAGAGGAGGAAGAGGAGGAGGAGGAGGAGGAGGAGGAGGAGGAGGAGGAGAAGGATGTACGACCTTCGTCTGCGCCAAGGGGCAGGAAAAGAGTGAGTGAGATGGTAGTCGTAGTCGCACGACGTACCGAAGCCCGCAGTTGCGCACCGAAGCCCGCAGTTGCGGACGAGAGCAGGGCGGGTGAGAGGGGTTCGGAGTCGCCGCGTCCCGTGCCTGAAAGGAATTGCCTGGTTCTGGCCCACCGCGTTTCGGTGCGACACCCTATCCGCGGTCTGGTCCCCGGACGTCAACCTCCTAAGCCTTTCTCAGCCTCCTGCCCCTCGCAAGGCAAAGCATCTGGCTGGGGTCGCCGCCGCGACGCGCTACAAAAAAGATCCCGACCGCGGAGAGATCAATCCGCGAACGAGAACGAGCTCGGGTGCCGATCTTCAAACTGGCGCGCACTGTTGTTACAGTAGATTCGCGTCGTGTTGACTGGCGGCGAGCCCGCCCCCGGCGTTCAACGTTGAACGCCGTCGATGTTTCACGATCTGACGTTTCGGAAGCGGCCGATCGTTCACGATGGAACGCTCCCCGCAGTGTCAGGAACCAACGCTGGGGCCGTCCCGACGCGACCACGCCGTACATCGCGGACGTTCCGCACACGGGCCGCGGGCGCTCTTGGGTTCCAGCGTGAAGTCGGGCCTGTCCCACTACAGGGGGAATATTCAGAAATAGCGAAAAATAATATGGGGGCAATTTTTTTATTATTATTTTTGGGAATCTTTTGAACACTTTTAGGGTGTGTTTTATTTTTCGTCAACAATCCCCCTGCAGGGGGACGGGCCCGACCTGGGCGGCCCGACAGGCGGTGGTGGTGGTGATGGTGATGGGGATGGTGATGGGGATGATCAAGAAGTTGATGATGTTGGTGATGATGATGATGGTGATGATGATGATGATGATGATGATGATAAGGATGCTGGTGATGATGACGGTGATGGTGGTGGTGATGGTGGTGCCGATGCTGATGATGATGGTGATGGTGGTGGTGATGATGGTGATGATGATGCCAGTGCTAATGCTGATGATGATGGGGATGATGATGGTGACGGTGATGATGGTGATTGTGATGGTGATGGTGATGGTGAGGGTGGCGAGGAGGATGGTGATGATGATGTTGATGGCGACGACGATGATGACGATGATAATAATAATACTAATAATGATGATGATGATGATGATGATGGTGGTGGTTGTGGTGATGATGGTGATGGTGATGGTGATGGTGATGGTGATGGTGATGATGATGATGATGATGATGATGATGGTGATGATGATGATGATGCTGATGGTGATAAGGATGCTGGTGATGATGAAGGTGATGGTGGTGGTGATGGTGGTGCCGATGCTGATGATGATGGTGATGGTGGTGGTGATGATGGTGATGATGATGCCAGTGCTAATGATGGGCTTGATGATTATGATGACGATCGCGATGTGCTAATGGCGATGGTGATGCTGCTGACGATGGTGCTGATACTGTTGCTGATGATGGTGGTGGTGGTGATGAGGATGGTGGTGATGATGGTGACGATGATGCTCCGAATGATGACGCCGCTGGTGATGATGACAATGATGGTGAGAAGGAGGAGGAGGAGGAGGAGGAGGAGGAGAAGGAGCCAGCAGGAGGAGGAGGAGGAAAGCGCTCGCCAACAGGGGACAGGTGAAGGAGAGAGGAGCTAAATGAGGAGGAGGCAAATCGTTAGACTCTGCGGCCACTGTTCGCCTAAGCCGGGGTAGCCACACATAGGAGCAGAGAGGATGCCAGGCGTCCAGAGAGTGCCAGGCCTCCTTGGCGGCCTTGGGCGTCGAAGCCGTCGCTCGCCTGCTTGCGCTGGCGAGACCGGCGCTGCTCGGCAGTCTCGAGATCGGCGCTGACGGCTTACACAGCATGTGAAGCGACCATGTTTCACTCCAGGTGCACTCTGGGGACCAATTAGGACCGCGGCTCAGCGAGAGGTTCAGCAGGCGCGCGGGACGGGGAGGGACCACGTGGGGGATGGAGTCAGCGGCTAACCACCTTTCAACAGTTGCACAGATGCATTGCGTTGACGAGCAGGGAACGGAGGCAGGATGAGAATCGGGGCAAGCGATAAGAGGAGGGGGGCTGGAGAGGGTGGTGGGTGGGCGGGGGGAATGCAACGAGGAGGGGTCGAGGACAAGCAGCAGCGGGAGCGCGCAGCAGCGGGAGCAAGCAGCCGCAGGGGCACGCAGGAAAGTAAGATGATGATGAGGAGGAGGAGGAGGCGGAGGCGGAGGACGAGGAACAGTGGCAGCAGGGGCGTGCAGGAAAGTACACTGAGGAGGAGGGAGGATGAGGAAGACGAGGAGGAGGAGGAGGAGGAGGAGGAGGAGGAAAGGGAGTAGTAGTAGGAGGGGGAGGAGGAGGAGGAGGAGGAGGAGGAGGAGGAGGAGGAGGAGGAGGAGGAGGAGGAGGAGGAGGAGGAGGGAGGGGGAGGGGGGGGAAAGGAGGACGAGGGGGAGGACGAGGACGCGGACGAGGAGGATGAGGAGGAGGAGGAGGAGGAGGAAGACGAGGATGAGGAGGAAGAGGAGGAGGAGGAGGAGGAGGAGGAGGAGGAGGAGAGGAGAGGAGGAGGAGGAGGAGGAGGACGAGGACGAGAACGAGGAGGAGGAGGACGAGGACGAGAACGAGGAGGAGGAGGAGGAGGAGGAGGACGAGGAGGAGGAGGAGGAGGATCAGGAGGAGGGGTGGTGGTGGGAGAAGAGGCGGAGGATGGTACCCTCGTGCACTGGCGCCATGGGAGGCACCTGTCCCGCTGAGGCGTCATTGGCCGGAGCTGTTTCAGCAGGGCGCGCCTCTTGTGTCGCGTATCGGCACGAGACGCTGAGGACCGCCGCTGAGCCAGAGGTTCAGCAAAGTGCGTGGGACGGGGCAGGGGTGGAGGGAGGGAGGGAGGGACCACATGGGCGGTAAGGATCAGCGGTTACCCACGTTTCAACAGTTGTGCAGGCGCGTTGGCGCAACTGCGTTTATTCACTGTCTCGGATGTCTCCGGGGACAGGCGGGCTGCGGGAAGCTCCCCGTAGAGCCGCCGGGACTGCCATGTCCGCGGGCGGCGAGGACCAGTAACAGGAGGTGAAGGAGACGGAGGAGGAGGAGGAGGAGGAGGAGGAGGAGGAGGAGGAGGAGTACGAGGAGGACGAGGAGGAGCAGCAGAGCCCAAGCGCACGCATACCAGAAAAAGACAGAAGACTGGCGACTCCGGGGGCGCACCCTGCACGCTGGGCGGCCCGCTGTACGACATTTCATCGGCCGCTTTCTCGCCAGACGGCCGACACGTGGTGACCGCTTCCCACCGCGACGTCGTGAAGGTCTGGTCGGCGGCGACCAGGGAGTGCTTGCTCACGATGCAGGGCGCCGGGGATATCGCGCTCTTCGCGCCGTGAGGATATCGGGGGTCAGCCGCGGGCTTCGTCGCCGCAGGCGCCGCCAGATCAGCCGCAGGCTTTACGGCCGGAACACTGGGCCATTGCATCTCCGAGGCTCGGCACGTTACAACTTGTAGTTGCTTTCTTTGCATGAGGCAAGTCTGTTCGCCACGGTAATCGCCCGGGGGCGCGGACTGCGATTTAGCCCAATCCGTTTTTCCTTGGCCTCCCATTGCTGATTTGGCCCCCCAGGGTGGCATAGTTCCAAACACCGCTGAATGGAACATGGGCCTTGCTCAATTCAGGAACCTTGGCGGTGCATGTCGTCTGACCCGGTTAAGTGTTGGCCCGGCCTTGTGGAATTCTCAGGTCCCTCCTTCAGCGTGCAGACTTACCGGGGAAGTAAATTGAAATTTCGAGGTCGCCCGCCACAGGCTTTCCAGTCTGCAGATCATTCGGAGGCGGCTCCCTGGGTTTCTGGGTTCCTGAGCCTATGAGCTGGGTTTCTGCCCCGCGGGGGGCAGCCCCGCCCCCCCCCCCCGCGCGCCGGTTGCCGGTTCGTCCGAGGCCGTCCGCGCGGTGGGTGGGAAGCGGTGACATCAATGAAACTTTTCGCATGAGAAGTATTGCCGCTGGTCTCGCGCGATCGCCCCCAACGGGCGCATTTGCGCGGATGCACGTGCAGGGAACGACCGCGACGTCCATCGATTGCCCGTTAGGGGTTCCAGGAACCGTTCCCGGCCACCCCCCCGCCGCCCCGCTCGCCGGTTGCCGGTCCGCCCGAGGCCGTCCGCGCGGGCCGCGGGGAGGGAGGCCTGGGACGCGATATAAATCTTTCGCGCGGCCCGCTCGCGCACGATCGCCCCCAGGCCGCGCATTGGCGCCGATGCACTTGCCTTGTTGCCATTGCCAGGACAAACGCGCGTTGTCGCGCGCGTTTCGCCCCGCTCCCTTTAAATTTGTTTTTGTGCAAGGGAGGCTGGGCGCCCCGCGCCGCCCTTCGCCTGCTGCGTGTTTGTCCCGCATAGGTCCCGTGCTGCTCCTAACCTTCGTCGCCCATCCTCATGCTCCTCGGTCCCTCCTCCTCCCCCGCCCCCCAATTCATTGCCCTCTTGGCGCTCTCTTGGCTCTTGTGGCTCTTATTTCCTCGTCTTCGCTTTTGCTTTCTACGTCCTCGTCATCATTATTGCCCCCATGTCCGTGGCCACGTGGCAGCTCCTAGGTCCCCATCGTCCTGGGTCTTCGTCATTGCACGCATGTCCTCGTGATTCTAGATCCCCCTCGGTCCTCGTCGAATCTCTGTGATAACATCCGGTTTCGTTAAGTTGTAAAGGCCCCCATTTTCTTTCTAAGTGTTTCAGGGTCTCGCTTGCCAATTGCCAATCGCCATTGTCACTGAAGTCGTTCTGGGCAAAGCGCACGCATGCGTTCTGTGAACTAACATGAGGCATCGGCCGAGCCAGGGGTATCAGCCCACGGGCCGGAGGTAGAGGCTTGTGGTATTAGCCGGCGCTGCAATTGGCCGGCGCTTCAATCGTTTCGCTCGTTCCGCCGGCCCATATTGTAGCATCGTTGGCACCTCCTTGCGTGCTCGGGGGGGGGGCATTTGAGGGGCCTCCTGGGGCCGCTTGGGGGCCTCTTGAGTGCCTCTTGGAGGCCTCCTGGGGGCTTCTTGGGGGCCTGTTGGGGCTTCTCAGGGGCCTCTTGGGGCCTCGTGGGGGCCTCTTCAAGCCGAGAGCTCGAAGGCCCCTTTTAGGGCTTTATTGGGGTCCTCTTGCGCCGTCTTGGAGGCCTCTTGGGCCGTGTTGGGGCTCTCCTGGGTGCCTCTTTGGCCCTGTGGTATTTGCCATGGGGGCTGCATTCGCCGTGGGGGCTCGCCTGCCGCGTTAGCCTGTGGTATTCGCCTGCGGTAATTGGCCGGTAATTGGCCGGTGGCTTTAGGCTTCAGCCTGTGGTAATTAGCCGGTGGCTGGAGCCTGTGGTATTTGCTCTTCGGATTCTGCCGAGTCTGCGGTCTTAGCTTGCGGGGCTGGCTCCGCCGAGGAGGAGGAGGAGGAGAAGGAGGAGGAGGAGGAGGAGGAGAGGAGGAGGAGGAGGAGGAGGGGGGGAGGGGGGAGGAGGAGGAGGAAGAGGAGGGGGGGCCTTTGGGCCAGTTGGGCCAGTTGGGTCAGTTGGGTCAGTTGGTTCAGTTGGGTCAGCTGGGTCCGTTGGGTCAGTTGGGTCAGTTGGGTCAGTTGGGCCAGTTGGGTCAGTTGGGCCAGTTGGGTCAGTTGGGCCAGTTGGGTCCTTTTGAGACAGACGGGTCAGTTGGGCCACTGTGGCCGGTTGGGGTCATTCAGTGCCCCGCGGCCAGATGTGCGCCCCGCCTGGCCGGCCCCCAACTCGTGCAATTGACCCGAACTGACCCCATTAGACCCCAACTGGTCCAACTGACCCAACTGGCCCCAACTGGTGCAAACGATTACCGGCCCATCCTTCCCTTTTTGCCTCCGCGACTTCAAGTGTTCCAAGTGACCCCAAGTGGCGCAATCAATTACCGGCCCGGTTTTGCGCCCACACTCATCGACCTTACGAATCGGGCCTTGGCCCGCTTCGTCCGCGGCTGGATTCGCTCGAACCTGGTGAGGGCCCTGTGGCTCGGGACCCCGTGCACCACCTTTTCAATGGCAAACCGGGAGGGCTGGAGGTCTGGGCAGTACCCTGGTGGAGTTCTTGGTCTCTCGGGCCACGTCCTGTCCAGGGTCCAGGGGGCCAACAAGTTGAGCTCTATCTCTGCAGGTTTCTTTCGTCTGGCTCGTACGATGATGGTTCCAGTTACTATCGAGAACCCTCATACGAGTCGTTTGTGGTCTATGCCCGCCTGGTCTCAGATCTTGAAATATTCAGATATTGACGTTTCCGTTCTAGATTAGTGTGCCTGCGGCATGCCCTGGAGAAAGAGGACCAGGTTCGTGTCGGCCAACGTCGTTCTCTCTCACCTCCCCTTCAAGTGCCACGGTACCAAGGTCTGTGACTTTACCGGTAAGCCCCATATCTGTCTCCAGGGTCATGATGATAATCACGTGCATCGTACTAAAATCGCCGAGCGGTACCCCCGGAAGTTGAGCATTGAGATCCTCAAGGCGTACGCGAGTACTATCCTCTCGAATCTTCAGTGTACGACAGCAGTGGTTTAGTTTGCTGCGTTTTGGGTTGTGGGCTTAATACGGCATACCAGTTTTTACCTTTGGCTGGGAAAGGCGTCTTTGGGAGCTGGGCAACCGGTTACCCTGAGTATAAAGGTGCGTGTGCGTGTGCGCTGGCGTCGAGACTCTTGGCGAGATCAGCACGCAGATCGAACCCTGCTGGCGAGAGAAGCCATCTGGCCCGTCAGGCACATCGGCGAGCATACATAGTCCTTTGTTTACATGTGGTTTGTCTGCCTCGAGATGTCAGGGAGGGCCGTCTCCTTAAATGTCTGTGTTCAAGCTTCCCACGGTTTCCGTCCGCTATGCGTTCTGCCACCCCAAGCCACCCTCTTTTTGCCGCCTCTTAAGGACAAGAAGTCCCCACGTCCCGTGTGCTGTGCAGTATCTGTTTAGGGGAGCTGGGCAACCGGTTACCCTGAGTATAAAGGTACGTGTGCGTGTGCGCTGGCGTCGAGACTCTTGGCGAGATCAGCACACATATCGAACCCTGTTGGCAAGAAAAGCCATCTGGCCCGTCAGGCACATCGGCGAGCATACATATATACATATTTACATATATACACATACATACATACATACATACATACATACATACATACATACATACATACTCACATACATACATACATACACACATATACACATACATACATATACATGTACATATACATATCCATATACATCTACATATGCATACACATATACATATACATATACATATTCATACACATATACATATACGTATATACGTGTATATATATATACATATATATATATATACATATATATATATATACATATATATAATATATATATATATATATATATATATATATATATATCGGAGTAGGGCCCCGGGGCGGTGCCTGTCATCTCCATGGGGGGTGCAGGGCGCCCCCGGGAGCGTCCGAAGCGTCCCGGAGGGCCCCTGGGACCGCCAGGAACAGTTCGAGACCGCCCAAGATGGCCCGCGAGCGCTCCAAGACGCGCATAGATAGCCTTAGGAATGGCCAGGAAGGCCCGAAGACGTTCCAAGAGAGCTCCATGAGGCCCCGAAGGCATCCCAAGAGGCCTCCTGAGAGAGCCCCGACAAGCCAAAATCGTTGATGCTTATTTTTTTTTTCGAGGTTTTTGGCCTTTTCGTTTTTTCTGGGCTCCGACGCTCCAAGACCGTCCAAGAGTCTCCCAAAACCGCTCCAAGACGGCCGAAAAGGCCCCCAAGACCGCCCCAAGACGGCCCAAGAGACCCCCCAAATCGTCCCAAGACGGCCCAGGAGAGCCCCAAGATGGCCCAGGAGCCGCCCAAGACGGTTCCAGGAGAGCCCCGACAGGGCTTTAAGACGAGCTCGGCGGTCCCTAAGAGGGCCCGCGAGGCCCCGAAAGGCCCCAAAGAGGCCCCAAAGAGCCTCCCCGGAGGCCCCAAGATGCCCCAAAATGGCCCTGAGCGCGCCCCAAGACGCTTCCAGGAGAGCCCCACAGGCCTCCGAGAGGCCCCCAAGAGGCCCACTGGAGGCCCTCAGGAGGTCGTCCCCATCATGTTCCCGGAAGGCGGTCCGGGAACATGATTCCGCGCCTTGGAGGAGTATTCTGCGCTTTCCGAGGCGCCTTCCGAGGCGCCCTGGACGACGTACGTATGTTTCTATAGATTGTCCTTCTCCTGTGTACACAATCCTACATGTCTTACGTATGTTTATATATATAATATGTATGTATGTATGTATGTATGTATGTATGTATGTATGTATGTATGTATGTATGTATGTATGTATGTATGTATGTATATATATATATGTATGTATACATATATATATATATGTATATATATGTATATATATATATCCCTGGGGGCAGGCCGGGGCCCCAGGACAGGTGCCCCACCCCCCATGGGGGACCGGGGCTCATTTTCCCTGTGTTTTTACAGGGTTTCCGCGTCCTGGGCCTCGGAGGCCGCCGCCTCCGACCCCCCATGGGAGGACGGGGCGGCCGGGGAGGTCCAAAATAGTCCAGGAGGGCCTCCAGAGGCTCCCAAGACGGCCCAAGCGGGCCCCGAGTCGCCGAAAGACCGCTCCAGGACGCCCAAGATAGGCCCAAGACGGCCCGAGAGGCCCCCCAAGGCACTCCACGACGCTTCAAGACGCCTCTCCAGAGCGCTTCAAGAGGCCGAAATCGTCAATTTCACGAAGGTTTTCGAACGATTTTGGCCTTCCAGCCTTTTCGGCTGTCCGACGTTCCAAGACGGCTCAATAAGCCCTCAAGAGCGCCCCAAGACGGCCCAAGAGGGCCCCAAGACGGCCCCAGAGTCGCCCAAGACAGCCCAACAGAGCCCCAAGACGGCCCCAAGATGCGCCCAAGAGGGGGACCACGATTCCAAAATTCGACCCTCCCGCTTGAAGAGTGCCCCAGGAGGCCCCAAGGAGCCCCCCAAAGGCCCCAGGAGGCCCCCAAGAGGCACCCAGGAGGCCCAAACGAAGCCTAAAGAGGCCACAGAACAGCCCCGAGGAGGCTCCACAACGGTCCCAAAACGGCTACCCAGAAGCTGCGAAACTGCCTTCACGACGTCCCCGACAGGCCAACCACGAGATCCAAACCAACACCCATGAGGCCTCTGACCCACCACCCAGGGCACTGTGGCGAGAGCAGTGACAGCACTTGTGCACAGCATGTTCCGGCGGGAGCCTTCCGGAACACGCTGCAGGAGGAGGAGGAAGATCAGGAGGAGAGAGAGCTGGAGTGGGAGGAGGAGGAGGAGGAGGGGGACGAGGAGGAGGAAGAGGCCTCCAAGACAGCTCCAAGATAGCCGAAGAGGCTTCCAAGAGGGCCCTGGGCGGCCCACGAGGGCCCCAGGGCGGTGCCTGAGGCGCCCAAGAAGGCCCGAGAGGGCCCCAAGACAGCCCCAAGAGAGGCCCAAGAAGGGAAACACCTGCCCCCCTCCTCGAGTGTGAACGCTGCTGTATCTTTCCGAAACCGTTGCCTGCTGCAGTTGCAGCTCTGTTCAATCACTCGATCTTGCTGCATGAGCGTTGCGCGACCGCGACGCACCATCTCCGTGCGAAGTAGTGTGCGTGCGCGGCCCGTCCATCCGTGCTCTGAGGCTGGACCTTGGCCTCGAGGCGGACAGGATCAAAATCATAACTTTTCTCCCTCTCCCTTCACCCTGCCCCCTCCTCAAGTGTGAACGCTGCTGTATATTTCAGAAACCGTTGCCTGCTGCAGATGCAGCACTGCTCAATCATTCGATCTTGCTGCATGAGCGTTGCGCGACCGCGACGCACCATCTCCGTGCGAAGTAGTGTGCATGCGCGGCCGGTCCATCCGTGCTCTGAGGCTGGACCTTGGCCTCGAGGCGGACAGGATCAAAATCATCACCTTTCTCCCTTTCCCTTCACTCCTCGAGTGTGAACGCTACTGCATCTCTCCGAAACCGTTGCCCTCTGCAGATGCAGCACTGCTCAATCATTCGATCTTGCTGCATGAGCGTTGCGCGACCGCGACGCACCATCTCCGTGCGAAGAAGTGTGCGTGCGCGGCTCATCCGTGCTCTGAGGCTGGACCTTGGCCTCGAGGCGGACAGTATCAAAATCATCACTTTTCTCCCTCTCCTTTCATCCTGCCCCCTCAAGTGTGAACGCTGCTGTATCTTTCAGAAACCGTTGCCTGCTGCAGTTGCAGCACTGTTCAATCATTCGATCTTGCTGCATGAGCGTTGCGCGACCGCGACGCACCATCTCCGTGCGAAGTAGTGTGCGTGCGCGGCTCATCCGTGCTTTGAGGCTGGACCGTGGCCTCGAGGCGGACAGGATCAATATCAAAAAAACATACATCATCTTCAAATCCTTCCCCGAGGGCCTCAAGACGGCCCGAGACAGCCCCCAAAGGCTCCACAGAAGATCACCGAAGCGCCTCCGCTGTCCCCCAGGAGGCTGCGATGAGGCGCCCGGAGGCCCCCAAGAGCGCCCGCAGACGCTCGCAGGCGGCCCAAGAGAGCCCACCGCAAAGCGCCCATGTGGCCCACGCCGAGAGCCTCCGCAGACCTGGGGTAGGCGCTGCCGGGCTGCCTGTGAGGGCCCAAGGTCAGGAGGGGCACGCACACACAGACAGAACTCATCGTCGACTCCGAGTCGACGATGAGGCCTCTGACCCACCACCCAGGGCACTGTGGCGGGAGCAGTGACAGCACTTGTGCACAGCATGTTCCGGCGGGAGCCTTCCAGAACACGCTGCAGGAGGAGGAGGAAGATCAGGAGGAGAGAGAGCTGGAGTGGGAGGAGGAGGAGGGGGACGAGGAGGAGGAAGAGGCCTCCAAGACAGCTCCAAGATAGCCGAAGAGGCTTCCAAGAGGGCCCTGGGCGGCCCACGAGGGCCCCACGGCGGTGCCTGAGGCGCCCAAGAAGGCCCGAGAGGGCCCCAAGACGGCCCCAAGAGAGACCCAAGAAGGGAAACACGAACTGAGAATCCGAGCTTTCTACCCCGAGAGGTTCTCGGGAAGTCCCAAGAGGCCCCCAATCGGATCCAAGAGGCCCCCAAGAAGCTCCCAAGAGGGCCGACGAGGTTCCAAGAGATCTCCCAAGGTGGCCCAAAGAGGCACAATTCATTGTTTTACGATTGGGCTTTGACGGGTTTTAATCGTTTCGGCCTTTTGGCATCCTGATGCTCCAAGACGGCCCAAGAGGCTTCCAATACCGCTCCAATATACAGGAAGAGGCCTCCAAGAGGGCCCCAAGACGGCCCTCGAGGGCCCCAAGACGGTGCTTGAGGCGCCCAAGACGGCCCGAGAGGGCCCCGAGAGCCCCAAGAGAGGCCCAAGAAGGGGAACGCGACCCAACAGCAGAGCGTTCCCCCCGAAAGGCCTACAGGAGGCCGCAAGAGGACCCCAAAAGCTTCCCGAGGGCCCAAAAGGCCTCTTGGAGACGTCCAAGAGGTTTTTTAAAATAGCCCAAGAGTGCCCTCAATGCGTCAAAACTGCTTCCAGGAGGCCCGCGGGAGGCTTCCGGATTGCCTCAATCTGGCCGCAGGTGGCCTCAACTCGGGCCTCCACGCAGCCAAGACGGCGAATGACGGCTTCAGATTGCAGAACCGATGCCCCCAAGGGACTCTCAGACGCCCCCCCAAGAGGCACCCAAGAGGTGCCTCCAACAGCCAGTTGACGAAGCATGCGGAACACCCCAGAAGCTCCTCAGATGCCGTCGCGCGCCTGTGCTTGATAGCGTTGTCCAAGATCGTCCAGCGCCCCCCCCCCGCCTGGGCTAGAACCAGAGCGCGCGCGAAGCGCGCGCGATGGTTCTAGTATTTATATATATATATATATACACACAAGTGGCACGTGTGTGCCCAGGCTCATACAAAAAACTGAAGGGGCGTTTGAGGCAGGAGTGAAATGCAACATCGAAGTCGCACTCGAGCGCAAGTGGGGTTGCCACACCTTGCGATGTGTGTACCAGGACCCCCCAGGAAGCCTCAGGAGGCCCGACTTGGATACCAGAAGAGGCTCCAGGAGGCCCCAGGATTGTGAGTGTTGTGCGTGTGTGTGTGTGATGTATGCTTTGTGTGGTGCGTGCTTTTTGTGTGTTGTAGGTGTTGTGTGTGTGTGTGTGTATGTTTGTCTAGCGTGTGATGTGTTGGGCGTGATTTGTGTCTCTGTGTGCATGTAGTTCTGAAGCCCCAGGAGGCCCCAGGAAGCCCCAGGCGGCCTCAGGAGGCCCCAGGAGACCCCAGGAGGCTTCAGGAGGCCCCAAGAGGCTCCAGGAGGCCGCAGGAGGCCCCAGGAGGCCCCAGGAGGTTTCAGGAGACCCCCAGCAGGCTCCGAGGCGGGGTCTGGGGTGCCAGAAGGTTCAGAAAGCCCCAGGAGGCCCCAGGAGGTTCCAGGAGGCCCCCAGGAGGCTCCGAGGCGGGGTCTGGGGCTCGATTTTGGAAGGATTTTTCAAGCGAAACCGCCATTCCCTGAGAATCGGGGTCACAATTATTCAATCGCTTCGCTCATTCCGCCGGCCCATATTGCAGCATCACTGGCGCTTGCCTGGCGACGAAGAGCCCGACATAGTTCGACGCGGAGGTGTTGCGGCATGCGCGGAGACACGGCCGGGGCGCAGTATGCCGAGCCTGCAAGAGCTCCACGGGGCCCGCTGCGCGGAAGAAGGTGAAAGCAATGTAACCGACCCGGACGCAGCGATTGCTGGAAGACGGAGGGTGCGACGTCGGGTCGGCGGAGCGCTGAGCCATTGAGGGGAAAGTGAAACGACATGTAGGGGTGTGATTTGACGGATCCAGAGCAAGGAGGGCTGGAAGAAAAAAACCTTCGCTGATGCTCTGGCGGTTGGCCATATTGTAGCATCGCTGGCGCTTGCTCGCGTGCTCGGGGGGGCATTTTGGGGGCCTCCTGGGGCCGCTTGGGGGCTTCTTGGGAGCTTCCTGAGAGCCTCTGGGGGGTCTCTTGGGGCCTCTTAGGGGCCTCTTGGGACCTCCTGGGGGCTTCTTGGGGCCGAGGGCTGGAAATGTTGTTTCGTGTTCCCCCTCTTGGGGCGTTCTTGGGGCCCTCTTGGGCCGTCTTGGAGACCTCTTGGGCCGTCGTGGAGCCCTCTTGGGCCGTCTTGGGGCTCTCTTGGGGGCCTCTTAAGCCCTCTTGGGGCGATCTTGGAGTCGTCTTGGGCTGTCTTGGGGCTTCGGGAAGCGGAAAAGGTGGAAAAGCCAAAATATGTCCAAAACCTAGGGGAAAGCAATGAATTTTGCCTCTTGGGGCCCTCTTGGGAGTACGCTTGGAGACCTCTTGGAGCGTCTGGGGGCCATCTTGGGCGTCTTGGAGCGATCTTGTGGCATCTCGGACGCCTCGTGTACCATCTCGGGGGCCTCTTGCGGGCCTCTTGGTTTTGTTTGGGTCCTCGGGGACGTTTTCGGAGCCCTGTTGGTGCGCTCGTGGAGCGCTCGGGGGGACCCGGCCGGGACCCGGCCGGGGACCGGCCGGGACCTGGTCGGGGTACTTTTCGTCTGGGGACCCCCAGGGGCCGCCCCGCGCGCGCGAAGTAGAAACATTGTAGAGCAGTTACCGGAGATCTTAGCACGCCTCTGGCCCGTTGGGCCGGCGAATTGAACTTACCATGTGTTTTTGAAGGTTTTATGTTACAATGTTGAAATTCCAATGTGTTTTTGAACCCTGACGTCACGATCTGCGTGAGGGGTGCCACCGATTTTCAGAGTTTCGAGGATGTCCCGAGCGAAACGCCCAGAAAAATCGCGGACGCGTGTGCATTAATCGCCTCTGAGCTCTACTCCCTCGGAGAGGTGCGTATGATAATATATATATATATATATATATATATATATGTGTATATATAATATATATATATATATTATATGTGTATGTGTTCCCCAAGCCCTCCCGAGTCGTGCCACTTCCTTCACGTATTTCAATTTCTTCTATACATATATATATATATACATACGCGCCCCAAGACGCCTCCAGGAGAGCCCAACAGACCTCCGAGAGGCCCCCAAGAGGCCCACTGGAGGCCCTCAGGAGGTCGTCCCCATCATGGTCCCGGAAAGCGGTCCGGGAACATGATTCCGCGCCTTGGAGGAGTATTCTGCGCTTTCCGAGGCGCCTTCCGAGGCGCCTTGGACGACGTACTTTGTTTCTATAGATTGTCCTTCTCCTGTGTACACAATCCTACATGTCTTACGTATGTTTCTTTCTATCTATCTATCTATCTATCTATCTATCTATCTATCTCTATATATATATACATACATATACATACATATACATACATATACATACACATACATATACATATATCGGAGTCGGGCCCGGGGGCGGCCCGGGGCGGTGCCTGTAACTCCATGGGGGGTGCAGGGCGCCCCCGGGAGCGTCCGAAGCGTCCCGGAAAGCCCCTGGGACCGCCAGGAACAGATCGAGACCGCCGAAAACGGCCCGCGAACGGTCCAAGACGCGTATAGATAGCCTCAGGAATGGCCAGGAAGCCCCGAAGACGTTCCAAGAGAGCTCCATGAGGCCCCGAAGGCATCCCAAGAGGCCTCCAAAGAGAGCCGCGACAAGCCAAAATCGTTGATTTTTATTGTTTTTGTTCGAGGCTTTGGGCCTTCTCGCTTTTTCGGGGTTCCGACGCTCCAATTCCGTCCAAGAGTCTCCCAAAACCGTTCCAAGACGGGCGAAGAGGCCCCCAAGACGGCCCAAGAGACCCCCAAAATCGTCCCAAGACGGCCCAGGAGAGCCCCAAGATGGCCCAGGAGCCTCCCAAGACGGTTCCAGGAGAGCCCCGACAGGGCTTCAAGACTGCCTAAGCGAGCCCAGCGGGCCCCAAGAGGGCCCCGCGAGGCCCCAAGAGGCCCCAAAGAGGCCCCCAAGAGCCTCCCGGAAACCCCCAAGAGGCCCCCAAGATGCCCAAAAATGGCCCTGAGCGCGCCCCAAGACGCCTCCAGGAGAGCCCAACAGGCCTCCGAGAGGCCCCCAAGAGGCCCACTGGAGGCCCTCAGGAGGTCGTCCCCATCATGTTCCCGGAAGGCGGTCCGGGAACATGATTCCGCGCCTTGGAGGAGTATTCTGCGCCTTCCGAGGCGCCTTGGACGAAGTACGATTCATATTCTTGAACGCTTTCCGGGAACATGATTTCTCACCGTTTCGGAACGCTTTCCTACTGCTGCGGTGCTCTGGGGGGAAAGGGACGGGGGTCCGGGAACATGATCGGGAGGTTAGGGAACCAGGGTTTGGAGAGGACCAGTCGGACAGACGGACGGGGCCCGGGGGCGGGGGTGTGGTGGTGCCACTGGTTGGCATGGCCGCCCCGGGTGTCCTGCGGGGTCCACG